AGTGACCTAGACATTAACGTAGATTAGTGCCAACCAATCGGCTAGCAGCCTGCTCTCACCACACTCGTCCCCCCGTCAAATAGCTTCGTGCGCAGACGTTCCGACCTTCTGGGTGCTACATCCTCTAGTTGAGGATTGTTACTGACCGGCTTGTCCCACTGTACCCATCTTTGGAGCTGACTGGCGTTAACTCGTTTCTGTTTATCACCTCTTCGGATGGTATATACTTGACCCCGTCTTTTTGTGATTGTGTATGGTCCTTCCCACTTTGGAAGGAGTTTCCGTGAACCTAGCCCGCCTCCAACTGTATATCTCCTGTCTCTACACTTCACTTGGTCCCCGACTGCAAAGGTAATGCACTGCGTCCTTTCTTTCATCTGAGACTTCGTGACATCACTGCGCTGCTTCCGTATTACATTCTTGACTGCCTCTTTCCTCTCTGCTTTTAATTTCGTCGTACTCCACTTTTGGTGCATGGGCCAGGTCTCATTGTGTACCGGTAATCGTGGTTTTCTACCATACATCAGTTGGAAGGGTGACTTCTTCGTTGTTTCCTGAGTGGTAGCCCGATGTGTTAGTAAAATCAGTGGAAGCTCCGTTTCCCAGTTCCCGCCCTTCGAGCCAGCCACTCCTTCAGTGTACGGTTGTTTCTCTCCGTTAGGCCATTCGTTTGTGGATGGTATGGGGTCGTTCTGATCCTCTTGATGCCCAGCTGTTGCAAACGGGAAGTAAACTCTTCACTCTCGAAACAGGGACCTTGGTCTGTCAGTATTGTCTTCGGTACGCCGTGGTCTGCAACAATGTGTCTAACTACTGCATCTGTCACGGTTCTTGCACGTTGGTCTGGGATTGCTACGGCGTCTACCCATCGTGTCGCGTGTTCCGTCATCACCAAGAGGTACTGATTACCATTGGATGTCTGAGGAAATGGACCCATGACATCTACGGACCACAAGTCACCTATCGCGGTAACTGGAATCGACTGAAGTGGTGGTCGTATATACCGGTCACCTTTCATCAGCTGGCACCGTGGACATCCAAGTACGTATCTTGCTACGTCTTCTCTCATACCTGGCCAGTACATACTTTGTCTTAGGAGGTCGGTCGTTCTGGCCACGCCTGTATGCGCTAGCTGGTGACATTCTTCTATCATGTCGTGGCGCGACGATTGAGGTATGACAGCCAGCCAGCTTCCGTCGTTCTCTCGCCAGGTCAGAGTCCCGTAGGCATTCACTCTGAGTCGATCCCTCTGTCTGAGTAGTGTGGTTAGCTCCTTACTCGCCGTAGTTTGATCCACTTCTATTCCGTTGGTGATCACCTGTATTACTGTATTCAGCGTATCGTCCAACCTCTGCCTACGTGCAAGTCTTAGTGGGTCTTGTTCTACTGCATGCACTCCGTAAGCGACCTCGGGCAACTCAGACTCATCTTCTGGTCTCGATAACAAATCTGCCAAGACATTTTCACTTCCAGGAACGTGTGAGATCGTAAAATCGTACTCCTGAAGACGCAACATCCACCGTGACAACTTCCCCCGTGGGTCTCTCGCTGTCTTCAAAAATTGTAGCGGCTTATGATCAGTTTCGATGTGGAACCGCCGGCCGAGTAAATAAGGTCTCCATTTGTCGACTGCCCATACCATTGCTAAACATTCTTTCTCTATCGTTGAATACTTTCTCTCTGTGAGGGTCAAAACCCTACTGGCATACTCAACGATTCCCTCGTCCTGTCTTAGGACCGCACCTATAGCGTAGTCACTGGCATCTGTGCACACTGTGAACTGTCTTCCTGGCACAGGTAGTTTTAGCGTCATTTGTTGGTGGTCGAGCAGCTGTTTAATTCTGTCGAATGTCCTCTGCGATTCTTCCGACCAAACAAACTTTGGCTCACCTAGTAGCCTGTATAGAGGGGCTGCTATCTCATTGAAGTTCTTCACGAAGCGACTATAAAACGCTGCTCTACCCAAGAATTGTCTCAGTTTTCTCTTTGAATTCGGGGCTGGAATCGTTTTAATCGTCAAAATTTTCTCCGGCAGTGGTTTAATCTCACCATTTCCCACTTTATGTCCCAACAGAGTAACATTCTTTTTGGCTATCTGAGACTTGGTTTTGTTGACGCGTAGTCCAAACTCTTCGATGCGTCGCAGCACGGCTTCTACATGGTTGACGTGATCGTTTTCGTTTTGACTGTATATGACGAGATCATCACCATAAACCTCCACGTTTTTCAAGTTCTAAGTAATAGCTTCATCAGTCGTCTGAACGTAAACGGTGCACCTGCTAGTCCAAACGGCATGCGTTTAAATCGATATTGTGTCTGACCCACGATGAAAGCCGTCTTATCTCTATCACCTTGTTTTATCGGTATCTGCCAGTATCCTGAGCGAAGATCGAGAACCGAAAACACATTCGCACCTTGTAGGCGATCTAAAGTTTCTACCACTGTTGGCATGGCACACGGTCTTAACTCTGTCATACTGTTTAACTGTCGAAAATCAACACAGAATCTATACTTCCCATTCGCTTTTTTTACTAACAGCACTGGAGAGTTGTACGGGCTATCAGCTTCCTCAATAATATCATCTTTTAACATCTCTTGCACTTGTCGCTCCACTTCGCCTTCCAGATGACATGGAACTCTTCGCGTTAAAAATGACCTTACTTTCGGATCACTTAACGGAATTTCATGATTCACCTTATCGCAATAACCGTATGGGTCGCCATCTCCAGTGAACAGATGATCGTATTTATTAATTAACTCTGTCACATTGTGTACCGTCGACAGCTTAATCGCTGCTATCTCGCTGGTCTCATACATGTTGATATGCCCGTATTTCGTGATCACCACGTTCGCTTGCGTGTCGATTATGGCACCAATCTCACGCAGAAAATCCGCTCCTAATATCGTTCGCTGTAGTTCGGGTACAACAATGAAAGGAAACGTCACCTCGCAGCCACCAACAACGACCGTACAGTTCGATCTACCCGTGATACGCAACACATACCCGCCTACTGTTTGTACTGTCAATGAACACGGACTAACACTCTTACATAAATTCTTATCTATTAACGACACGGCCGCCCCTGTATCTATCAAACATACTACTTCTCGATCATTCACTCGCAACTTCGAATACAGAGCCCTTTCTCAATAGCCCCCACTAAATCTAGGTTCATACGAAAGAAAGAACAAGCATTATACCGTCTGAAATTTTTTCTTTTTCGCCTTTCTGGGCAGTATCTTCTCCAGTGTCCCGGCTTACCGCATTCAAAACACCGGTCTTTTCTATCAGCCAACTTTAACGCCGCCACTTCCCGCTGCAATGCTTCAATTTTCTGCTCATATTCGTTTGGTTTTGGTTGGTCTATAGCGGCTACCGTTGTGCTCAGCAGCTGTCTGGTCACCTTCGCCAGCTCACTAATATCCATCGGCTGCGTTGCGTTAACCAGTTGTAATCGCTGAGAAATGTGGTCTGGGACACTCTCGATGAATTGGGAAGACAGTAACTGCGCTTCTGATTCTTCATCTAAAGTGGGAAGCGCGCGTCGAAGTAGATTAGTCAGTTTCACCGCCAACACTAGCGGGTCTCCATCAGGTCCAAGCTTCATTGACCGGAACTGCTGCATTGCTAGCTGTCTGTCTGTTTCGCTGTCAAACTCGGACACTAGTCGTTCAACCAATTTCTTCCAAGACGCTGTGCCATTTGACCTGTCTACGCTGTCATATGCAGCCTTCGCTCGGCCTCTCAACAGCGTCCCCAGGACAACTGCCTTCGCCGCCTGCTCCTTGACACCCACCAGCTCAGCAACGGCCTCGAAGTCACGTAAGAAGCTCCGTATGTCTCCTTCTTCAAACGCAGCTGGCCACGGGATCTTCATCTTTTGGAGGCAGCGACACCAAATGTAACAACAGAAGACAAGGGCTGGCAACAGATCGTTTTATTACGAAAATCAACACGTATTTATATATTTTATATGCATTAATAAGGCTTATGCAAGCAGAAAAAGGCAGTCTTCTGATTGGTTGTTTCTCGGAAGTTAAGCAGACAAACACAGTCTTATGATTGGTTGTTTTCGATATTTCTCGGAAAGTAGAGCCATCTATCTGCGAATCATATTTGTCCACATTTAAGTTTGCTGTGATTGGTTGTTGAAACAGCCTTGTTCATATTTTCTCACGGCCCATATTAGTGACCTAGACATTAACGTAGATTAGTGCCAACCAATCGGCTAGCAGCCTGCTCTCACCACAGGTTCTATTCCCGGTCGTCAGTGTGCATTGCTGAAGGGTTCCAAAATAGGATGAAACAGCTGTCAAGTTCCCCGGGTTTCTAATAATCTCTAACTAATGTTGGTTTGTGAAGAAGTCTAACAAATAGAATTACTTCCAATCCTCACAAGTCTTGTAACCTAAACGTCATGTGTTCATCGTTGATTAAATTGCTGTGTTAGTCTCTTTATTTTTAAGATATGTTCCAGTGATACTTTTCCGTAACATTTACTTCTCTAAGCAATTGCTATCAGTTCAATTTCCATGTTTTTGAAGATGAAACACTCGTGTCGTTAGTACTGAAGTGCTTTAAATGGTAGTGAAAATATTTACATTTTTTGCATTGAATTACTTCTAAAATCACATTGTAAACTAGTTGTACTTTTTTTACACTGAGATTTCTTTATTAGAAGTTGTCCAGAGTTCTTTCGTTGATAACTTCCATTCTCCAAGATGTAAGTTTCAAGCATGACATGTTTACTCGTGTACAATGAGTTGTTCGTCTTTAAGTTCCAAGGACACATTGTCTAAAAAATGTCTTATTTATTTATTGTCGTTTTTCATCATAATTTAACATTCTTATCGGTCTATGAAAGAAATGCTGGCTACCTCGTCAAAATTCCAAACAAGGGCGAATTAGGCCGCTGCAAGAACTAGCGTGGAATAATGCCGTTGTCCACGCATCATTCTGGAGAGAACAAGGGATGCAGTGGATACAGAACTCCTCCTGGAACAAGCTGGATTCAGGAAAGGCAAATCATATACTGATCAAATTGCAACTCTACGCATCGTCGTCGAACATAGAATAGAATGTCAGTCAAACCTCTACCTCAACTTCATCGACTTCGAAAGGGCCTCTAACAGACAGCGTTGACCGAGAAGTAATTTGGAAACTACTTCAACACTACGGTGTACAGTGCCCAAGTCTTTGTCAATCTTATTCAACAGCTGGCTATGACAATACCACATGTGAGATTATTCCACAACGGAAAACTCAGCGAGACATTCGAAGTAAATACAGGAGTAAGACAAGGCTGTCTGCCTATTATCAACGATGATATTCTTAATTGTAGTGGACTGGATTATTCGTCAGACTGTTGGGGGCGAGGAGTCAGGAACACGCTGGACAACCGATAGATAAGAAGACTCTAGAAGATCTGGATTTCACGTGTGGATGATATGTGTCTAATGTCACACAAAGTCGAAGAGTTGCGCGTGAAAACCAACGGACTGGCTGAAGAGGCTGTCAGCGAAAACAGGACTTTGAGTGAACACAGAGAAGACGGAGGTGATGAAGATAACCAACCAACCAACTAACAGCAACAACAACCAGCACCAATCACCATCAACGGGAGAGATTTAACAGAGGTTGCGTCCTTCCTATATCTGAAAAGCATCGTTTCGACTACAGGTGGAACGGCTGATGTCAAAGTCAGAATAGGAAAGGCAAAAAACTTGAAACCAGTTCGGAAATCTTCCGCACTTGGCATAAGGAACAAGATTCGCATTTTCCACACCAATGTGAAGTCGGTTCCTCTATATGGGTCGGAAACTTGCACTGCGTATCAGCCAGAAAAAGGATTTCCAACAGTTTGCAGACTTTCATCAACAGCGTTCCGCTTTGCCGGCTCCATACTGAAGACTGACTGGCTAGAAAGAATAAGCAACAAGAAACTATGTGGACAAACCAAAAGGTGAGCGCCGATCGCTCAACAAATATGTAGGAGAAAGTGGAGATGGATCGGGCATACATTGAGGAGACCGCCGAATGACATTGCACGCCAAACCCTTGAGTGTAATCCCATTGGGGGAAGCGGTGAGTGGGTCGTCCTAGAGTGACATGGAGGAGATCGTATGATGAAGAGATGAGAGAGTTTGGGCAATCGTGGATCCACCTGAAGAGAACGGCAGAAGAAAGTGGAAATGTGTTTTTGAAGCCCTATGTTCCACCCGGAACACTTTTTAGTCGTAGAAACATTTCTTATTCTGTTTATTCCATACAGAGATGAAGTTTGTTATCATCTGTTGTCATATTCAGATTTACGAATCTACTTTCCGTCACTGAATATTATTTATCTGGATTACAATTTTAGCAATCATCATACTGTCGCCTAAACTCCCCTGTGCTTAACCTTACTTTGTTAAGGTTTTAAGCGTATTTATCTTTATACACGTTAAAAATTAATTTATTTGCTGGTCGTGTGAAGTCAGTTTCATCTTTGTGTGGTTGATCAAAGTCTTGCTTCCAACCGCATTACGGTATACTTTACTTATTGACCATATGTTCAATATTAACTGTCATTCACCATTGAACGACAAAGAGTGGGGCTTTTCACATATAGATTTTGCATTATTTCTGGAAAATTATCGCAGTTGTGTATTGGTTACTTCACTTTCTCAGCGTAAATATTAGTGAAAATTGGCCTATTGGGTGTAGATTAATGATGTTAACTTGAGCTGCTGTTGCACAAGTCTGTTGAAAACTATCGTCGGCGACATCGCATATTTACACCTCCACAGTTTGACACGGTTTCGACTCGTATGAATGCACCTAAATGTTTGACTGAGTTAACATTCATTATCCTGAAGACGTTTATTTAGTAAAATTTAACTGAACCGGCTCTTCCTGAACTTCTCTTTGTCCCTGCAAATTTCTTTTCCATGTTAACAAATATATTCATATTTTTGGTGTCTTATTATTCTCCAATGTTTATTCACGCAAATATATAGTGCGAATTAGTTTATTTTTAGAGAATAACCAGTTGAATTTCACTGATGAAAAATTTGAAAGATAGTGATTCAATATGAGGAAACTGGGAAGGGGGATTTTCGGAGTAAATAAACAGTGGTCGTACAGTTTGTATGTTTCCTTGTGAAATGATACAACTATGTAGACTATTAGTCGTTTGTGTGCATCATATTGTTCTCTATTTAATGATTCCTCTAATTCATTGATAATGGTCCCGAGCAGTTTTCCATTTGATTGTTTGCTTTCACATAAAGTTATCTGTTTTAGTTAACAGAATGCCAGATTTGAGCGGTAATAAAAGCTCTACAAAGACTTTGGCACCTACAAAGAGACCTGCCGTAAGGAGTTCAGACAAAACCAGCCATTCTTCAAGTTCCAGACCACATGACAACAAATATACCCATTCTAAAGTCTCTCGAAGTCCACCCAGACGGCGTGCTAGACGTAGTCACTCTTCAACATCCAGTTCTTCAGACTCTGGTTCTTCATCATCTGAGTCTGACTCAAGCTCCTCTTCGTCTTCTGGCACATCTAATTCCTCCAAAGCTTCAAAGAAGTCTAATCGTGGTTCAGGTTTGTTTAGTGACACTTTCGTTTTTATGCACGTTATGGTCTGCTCGGTAGTAACCAAATAAAATAGCGCTTTCTACCAGGTGAATACTAATTAGGTTAATTGTGTGTGAAGAAGACATACATTGTCTTTCTCTTCCACGGTGTGGGCAGCTGGGGAGTGACAACTGCCCACACACTTCCAAAAAGACAGACATCGTCTTTCTGTGCGCTAACGCACTGACGTAGTCATAGTACTTTGATGTGCGTTACGTCTGTGACATTTCTAGTACTCAATATACTAAATCAAAAATTATTCTGGCGACTCGTGGTGAGTAGGCTAGTCCAGAGATTGTATTTGTCTAAATGAAGTTGGAAATAGTTAAAACCATCGAGTTGCAGGTATCATATATATTAGAGAGTTTACCTGTCAACACATTTCACTAGATCAATATGCAATTAATATATAAAGATACTAATAATTATAGAGTTGTATTTAGTTTTCTAGTTTCTTAACAATTAGTATTTCACTCTTTCTTATTTGTTGTAAGTAACTTCTTTTCGGTTAATACCAACGTCATACATTTGTTTTGTCTAGCTGAATATTGTTTTCTTATTATGCAGTTACGCGGAACACATTATTCATGTTCCAGACTATGAACCACACATATTGTGTGATGGTTGATGATACTACCCAGCTGTTTTTGGCTGAAACGAGTAAAGTGGGATTCGATCCAAACCGACGCGCTGAAAATCAAGTGCTCAAGCCAATCCACCATACTTTCACCTGGCTAAATATTAGTTATATGTTCTTTCTTTCTTTAGATGTTTAAAGTTTATTACTATACAAAAACTACGTAGTTGAAGCATCTAAATAGATTTTGTGAAGAGCTAGATATCTTACTTTATCGGTTCAGTTGATAGTATGTTACGCATCAATGGCTAAACTGTGAATGGAATTCCTTAGTGATGATTTGAAGTTCTTTGTCACAGTAGTAAATAGATGCGTTGTTTAAGTCTTAATTATTTATTTAACAGCACTGATTACCTTTAAATTAATCTTAACACCATGTAGGTAGCGCACTTTGCTCGTATTCATTTTACATTCATGAGAATATGATAATATTTATTGACTTTAATGAACATTAATTCCGAAGGCTTATATCACTATTTTTGACAATATTTCTAATGATTTCAATCCTAAATTAGCAATGGATGTAAAGAATCCTAACGAACGCCCTCATGTATCCAGTCAAACAAGTTCTGTTCAGTCAAAAGTAAACGACAAAACAGCGTCTCATAAATTACCTGAATCTTCTGAGTCAAAGAAGAAGCTCAGTTCACAGCCATCAAAAGATGAACCTACTAAGTCTGATTCAAATGCGAAATCAAGTTCAACGGATCATATCAAGGTTTCTGACACTTCTGGTGTTGCAGGGTCTGCACTGGCATCTGCACAAAAATCTGATGAAAAGGTGACCGATACTTCTAAAACCCGGAATCTTGATAAATCTTCACATAATCCACCTAAGTCAAACAAGGAGAACACAGTAGAAAAACCCATTCCAAACAGTGACGGCCCTACTGAAGGTCAGTTCACTCGCATATTGGTCGAGAAGTTAACTAAAAATATAACAAGAGTAAGTGCTTAACTACTGTTGTTGTACATGTGGATTTGTTCAGTTTTTCGAACCATGTGTTGTTAACTACAAGGTTGACGTTTTCTAAATATGATCAGTATTTTATAAAGTCTAAGTGGTTCGTTATTCTGTATGTTTACAGGATTGAATGTGATTGTATGACTTTAAAATAGTGGAACTTCTTATCTTTAGGGTGATATTAATCGTATTTTTTCCTTGTCCCTAAGGTTTAGCAGTAATGTCTACCACGTTGAAGAAAAAAGACAAATGAGCATTATCATTATTTTCAAACCATTAAATCAGGATTGTTACGTTAACCAAATATAGAGATCTTTGATGGCATGGAGGATTTCATCATGAGCTGACATCAGTTAGAGAACCCTTGGAAAACCTGGGAGTACTGGACAGCTGTTTCCCCCTTCCTAGTTTGGAACTCTTCGTCAGTACGCACCCAACACACGGGGTTTGAACCCAGGACCTTCTGGTTACAGGGCGAGCTGGTAGATCATTGAGCCACCGAGACACGATCAAATTGGTCCAGTCTACCAATTCACGACATAGCGCAATCATTTCGCAATGTCTTCTTCGATGCCTTATCTTCAACCTGCTGTGCCCTGGTCACGGCTTCCCACTAGAACCCCGGTGGGTGCGTACTAATGAAGAGTCACAAACTAGGACGAGACAGCTGTCCATTACTCCCAGTTTTTCCAGTGGTTCTTTAACTGATGTCAGCTCGTGATGAAGTCCTCCATGCAATGAAACAAAAATCCCCACAAAACCAATACTTGAAAATAGAGATCTTTAGTTTGAAATCACACCAAAATAAAATTTTCACTATTATCTGTGAAGGACAAGTTATACAGTAATGTAGAACGAACTTGAATCCTACTTTAAAAGAAACTTTGAAATCATATCACTATACCTTTTTTCATACCATGCTCTAATTTGCTCCTTTTATTCTAACAAGTGTTATTATTTATTAAGACACAAACTGAGTACATTGTGGGCATCAAGGTATGGTGCACATAAAATCTCATAGCTTGTGAGATGGCTAGAATGCTGCCCAGACGCTGAGGCGGAAACAAGTGATTATCTAGGGGGCCAACTCTGAGCCTTTGACTTAAAATCTGATCCACAAGGCAGTGGGGGAACAACAAGACCTACCTTTCCATAGTTTCTGGTACCAAAACGCTATCCTATTCGTTCGGTTTCTGGAACCCATGTACACCATAGCTTTGGAATCAGAGCTCTCCATCTCCCTTATGTAGACGAGAATACCCACCAGTCCTGTTGTAGGCACTAGACGTTTACATTTTCCTTTCCAGTTTTGTGAGGAATACTGCCGCCGCATGAAGGGAGTGAATATGATTCATCTAATAAAAGCTATGTACTCATGGCCATTTAGTGGCATTTCGACAAAGTAACCAATGTCTACCCATCCTCAGCTGTCTCAGATCATTTATGGGGGCGTTGTAATTGGTATTTTGTAGACCTATCCTCTTAAAGTAGATCGTGTATGTGTTCATTTAATTACTGTATTTAATCTGTGGGTTTTCATGAATTAATCAACTTGACTGACTGTCATATTATCAACATTCGAAACCACTTAAATATCACATCATTATAAAACTATTCTGTCAAATCTTGACTACAGTTCATTTGATTTATCACATCATTAAACTGGAAACATTTAATTTTTTCCTCTAAGGATAGTATCATGTGAACAGTGAAGAATTTATGCACACGATTTCAAATGACCATGAGGTTCTAAAGGATGAATTACATGTATCACTCGTTGTAATCATTCAGTCTGAAGAAAACCATTCCATTCATAATATGTTAATGTTGTGTCCAAAGATAATACTGGGTTCGTATTCATTATTACTGTTAGTTCATCATACAGTATTATAAGAATGATTACTGTAATACCATTTCACCACTGAGAAAGCCTCAGGAAGCTGTCATGGGAAAGACAATAGGATAGCTGATTACAAAGTTATTTCAAATGACCGATATACCATCAATTCAAGATATAGACATTGTTTTTACCTAGTGAGGAAGTACGCATAGAGATCCAACGAAATGATTTTTAATCTATGTTAATGTCAAATGTTTGGTTTGTGGATTACGTGGGAAACGTTAAACAGTGTTATTATCCTCTGTCCTAACAGTTAGGAACCACAGAAAAAAGCGTTTTTTTTTTGGTGTCAAGCGGTCCAGGAAGTATTATCTGCTTCATCCATTACGTCATCATCATCATTACGTCTTTAGTTGACAGATGTTCGTAGTGTGTGAAATCGTTTTTATTTTCATGAACTCTAAAGTATTAAAGTGTTCTACAAATAATAGTGGTAACAAGTTTTATCATATCGTCTATATATATTCAGAGGAGAAATATTACACTCGGAAATAATTTATAAATTGTTTTTATTTTAGGCCCATATTCAAGAAATATTTTCTGTATGGGGTGAAATTCATTCTGTTGACCTTCCACCAGATCGTATTCATCCAGAATTCAATCGAGGATATGGCTATGTTGAGTATGTTGATGCTAAATCAGCCAATGATGCAGTTAATTTTATGAATGGAGGACAAATAGATGGACAAGAGGTTAGAGTTTCTGAAGTTTATTCGCGTCCATCACATACAAGCGATCGTGGAGGCCGATCGGATGAACGAACAAGCTATCAGTGAGTCAGTCAATTTTTATCAATCATTAACTACAAACAAATTTGTAACGGTTTAATTCGCTGCATTTAGAAAATAATAGGAAATAAAGATAAACATGAGAGTTCACTAGTTCCTTGATGTTTGGTTAATTTTTTGTGACGTTTCTACATGCTCACCTTATACTTGATTCAATGTATTTTTGCGCAATGCTATTGTGTATATCATAAGTATCTACTTGAAGTTATCAAATTTATTAAGGGAAGAGATATTAAACAATTATAGCATCCGGTTGTTGCGGTATTTATCAGCTTTTGGGGCTTATTTAGGCTAATTTTTTAAATTTTTGATTACAGCTTGATTCCACACTGTATTTTTGGTACAAGTATGGAATTTTCAGCATGGATATCGGTAGCCCAAATTTTGCAGGCCAACCATAAATATCAGGTGTGCGTCGGCAGGGAATCGAACCTCGGACCATGCGCATGGTCGGCGAGAGTCCTAACCACTGTGTCACTGACGCACATGATTATATCTTGCTGATTCATCTCATACTAAAGCTATTTCTAATTCATTGCTGTGTCAGAAAGATTGGTAATAATAAGGTGAAAGTTACATATAAGTGTACTCAAGTTGTTTTATAGCTGTTACATCTTTTTATTTGTATTATGCTTTGTGTATTTTTCATAAACTTTTTTCCTAATTTCTTTAGCAAAAGGAGACATGATTCATCTAGATATGGTCGTGAAAGGTCACGTAATCGTGATGAGCATTCTTCTAGAGGATTAAATGATTCTACTGAGCACAATCGCATTAAAGAAGATTCTACTAAAAAACATTCGTCTGGCAATCATTCACGGACTCATGACAGACAAGATCGTTCGCGGATGCATGAACGCATTGAAGATCGTGAGCGTATTAAAGAACGTGAACGTGAACGGCCACGAGGTGGTCGCTCAGATGGTATGGACAAACCAAAAACAACAAGACGTGGAAGTAGTGGCAGCCCATTTGCAAATCGTACAACTGATCGCCCTCGCTCTCCTCCTGCTAGTTCTCGTTATCGTAGACCTAGTAAGTTTGTTGTATTAAAATATGTTGTGTTCACATGACCGTCGAGTTCACTAATTATGCATTCTATAATCTAATGTATTGTTGAAATCCAAATGACTTTGAATTATAAAATGAATTTTCAATTTCAGGTCCTCCAGGTGCTCGAACATCGGCAAAGCGACCTAGGTCTCAAAGTCCTAAACAAAAAGCACAGTTAGGATCAAGTCGAGATGTAAAGAATTCAAATACTAGCCATCATGATAGAAAAGCCTCATCCCGTTCATCATCCTCGTCTTCTTCTAATTCAGGATCATCATCTTCCTCATCAAGTTCTGGTTCTGGTTCTAGCTCATCTTCAAGTTCGAGTAGTTCTCGTTCTTAACTACGATGTTTTTTATATCATGAAACAATTAATATTGTAGTAAATATGCTGTCTATACAAATGTCTGCATTTTTGTTGTACGTTTATAATCATATAATTTGGCAACATTTATCTTTGTCGTACAACATTAAAATTTTATTTTGGATTCACTTTCGCTTTTATTATCTGAAATCAGATATTAGTCTATTAGCAGAATATTTAAAACGTAGAATTTAAGTTCATTTTCTGTATTCTTCTTTAAGTCATCCGACTATTGTATATCAGAACTTATTTGTTTCCTTAACTTTTGTCAAATGTAAGTCTAAGCATGAGTATATACTTCATCATCGTTTACTTTCATGCATCACTTAGAGCGAATAGAGGGAAGAAATCGTTGCTAGGTCGAAGGGTTATTTACGAACTAGATACTCAATTCTCTACTGTTAGCGACAGATCTCATGGAGTGCAACAGTTCCTGGATATTCAAGTATTGGTTTGTAGGGTTTGGTTGATTGTTTACAGGATTTCATCATTATCTGAAATTGGTTAGAGAACCATTGGAAAACCTGGGTGTACTGGACAGCTGTTTCCCCCCGTCCTACTTTGAGACTCTTCAGTAGTACGCACCCACTGCGGTTCGAACCCAGGACCTTCTGGTTACAAGGCGACCTCGTAGACCATTAAGCCTCTGGGAACCGATCCAATGACTCATGAATTCTGACCTCTGCCAATTCACGATATAGCGCAAGCGCTAGCAAATATCTTCGGCGAGTATTTGTCAATGAGATGCTCACTTCCGACTGGCCCTATTCTGGCAGGTAGTTACTTGGGGTTCCAGTGGGAAGTCGTGACCAGTAGGGTGCAGAAGGTCGGGTGCGAGGACAAATAATCGCCGAAGGCATTTGCTGGCGCTTGTGCTATATCGTGAATTGGCAGAGGTTAGAATTCATGAGCCATTGGATCGGTTCCCAGTGGCTTAATGGTCTACGAGGTCGCCTTGTAACCAGAAGGTCCCGGGTTCAAACCCCGTGTGGTGGGTGGGTACTGATGAAGAGTCTCAAACTCAGAAGGGGGAAACAGCTGTCCAGTACTCCAGTGCTGGTTTTCGAATGGCTCTCTAACTGATGTCAGCTCATGATCCTGTAACCAGTTCTTGGATATACCTATGCCTTCATGTTGTGAGTAACTAGTGCGCTTTTGCCTAAGGTCCTAGCCATTTTCTCTTCTGACGTTTTCTTACCATTGGATTTGCTACCAATGGGCCTCATTTTCGTCACCTTATAATATCGTGGAACGAGTACAAACCTCCCCTTTTAAATTATGATTGGAGTTGACAGAAGTGTGTGATAATGTTGAGAAGACATATCGCTTACATAATATCTTTATGTGATCCTGGATAGTCTGGGTCTTAAGTTAGATGGTAGGATGATTCGCCAATAATCCTTAGGTCGCTGGTTCCAGTCCTAACACTTTCGATTACCATCCCCTCTCTTACCAGTATAAGTTTGCTTGAAAAGTCTTCTATATTGATCTTACTTTGTACTGATCATTCACTTTATTCACGTCAAGTCGAAGGTAGATCATGAAGTAATAGAAAAGATTTGTGTCTTAGGTGGATGGTTTTGGTGCCGTCACGTACTCTGAGTTGAATGGTTTAATTGCAACGCTTTCAGTTTTCCTTCTAGACAACATATTCAGCGCAGACGTTATATTGAAGTTTTTGGACCGAGCACCCGATGCATATTCATGTTTTGAAAGCAGTCTCATTTTCCGTTTTACCTGGATTCTTATTTATCGTGATATGACAGTTTTGATAACAGATTTAGACATATGATTTCTTAGTTGGTAAGTTCTGCGTCAGGTTTCCTAATTCACATTTGATTGAATGGCACACTTGCTTAGTGTTATGAATAATATTGCTGTCAGTGGGGAATGAATACATTTTGCCTTCTGCTTATACTGTCGTTAGATTGAAAATTTGATTTATAGTTTGATCGTATGATCCATGGGGAAGGCTTGCTTATAGCACAACAAAGTGTTTACACTTTGAATATTTCTCGACGCGCAGTTATGGATGCGTTGATGATAAGGATGTCATGATTATGCAGAAATTTGTGGAGATTATTTAGTATATTGATGCATTATTTGATACAATAATCGATGGAAAATATCCACCAATTCTTTTGCATAAGTAGCGAAATTACTGGGTGAATGATGAAATCTAAACACTTGAAATCTTTATGGTAATCGATGTGAATATGAGAAGAAAGCAAACTTTTCACAGTTGGTACGATTTATCCTTCTTTGTTATCACTTCTAGCCTATGTTGTGGGCGATGAAGTGATTGTTTTGATATATAAGTGAAGTATTTTTAAAGGTGTCAGCGTTGTAGCTGTTGTTCTGTAGAAAATACTCTCTCTCTCTCTCTCTCTCTCTATATATATATATATATATATATATATATATATATATATATATCATGGGACAACTAACTCGGTTTGTGAGTCTAGAGTTTGAACGATTTCTAATGGGGCATGATATTAATGTTTTGATAATTCATAAGTAGGGGTATTCCCAAAGTCTACCATTGGTCGTATGGGGTAACCTGGCTTATGTATTTTAATCGTACCATATAAAAAACCCAGTGCCCATAGTTTCAAACGCCAAAGCGTTATCCACTAGACCACTTAGGCCACGAGAGCCACCGTCCACAAATTAAATTCTAATTAAATGCCCAGACATCGTCGAAGCATCTGCACAAGAAGCCGTCATGTCAACCTGAGACCGAGCACTTCGGTCCAATCAATCGACGGGAAAATCTCAAATTAAACTAAATTAAACCATTTAAATTCACCCAGTGACGGCTTCATTCTGCGTATTAAATCCGCTGTGGATTTTTTAACCTTATTCATTATTGTGTCTACAGGCTTCTTAATTTACTCACATGGACCCGTCTCAATATATTCAGTGACTTTCTTGGTATAGTCAGATTTATCTAGAACTACGATAGAGTTCCCTTTATCAGCTTTTGCGATGACGATGTTTTTATCCTGTTTTAGACTAATTGGAGCTAGTCTTCCAGATTTTTTAAAGTTTGATTTTGCTTTCCTTTGATTTTTCAAGGAATTGCGCTCGAACCTCTTCTGCTATCATCTTATTTATTGAACTTAGCACTACTAGAAGAAAAGACCTAAATTATGAAATAAAACAGACAGAAGAAGCGTTGGTATCAAATAACTATCTTATAAAGTTCATTAGAAAGATCAGAAAAGGTCAAAAGCAATATAAAAATAGTTGTAAAACTAGTGTAACAACAGAAGACAAGGGCCAGGCAACAGATCGTTTTATTATGAAAATCAACACGTATTTATATATTTCAAATTTATTAAAAGCTTGTTTTTAATGAAAACCGTGTGTTTTGGTCCAAAAAGTTCTTTGAATTTTGCTATTTGTGTTTAACCTAATTTTTCCCTCCCCACTAGTACTGATAACATATATAACAGAGAATATAAGACGTCTACTGTTATACCATATAAGGAGGGGACATCTGAGACCCTACGTAGGATTCTTAATAGAGCAGGAATTGGAGTGACACTTAAACCTACAAACTCACTCAGATAGGACAAGCTCTGTAGGTTAAAATAATATAATTTACAAAATACCTTGCAATGACTGTGAGCTAAGTCAACTACATAGGTCAAACTAGTAGGTCGCGGATAGTCAGATTGTCGGAACATAAGAATTTAGAATGGTTGACCCCGAGAAGATAAGTAATTTTGAAAAAAAGCTCATCACTGCATGCATTAACACACAACCACACAATAGTGTGGGAGAGGGTTAAAATTCTAAAAAGTAATATAGGTAGGCGGAGAGAGAGATTGATTACTGAATCCTTGTTCATCGAGTCTACACCCAACACGTGCAATAGGAATGACTCATCACTCATACCGAAATTTTGGAAAATATTACTGCCAATCAAATCAAGCGATGGAAAGTAATGGAATTATATAAACGAAGTTAAAAAGTTGTGTGAGCATCTTGATTTGATTATGAGTGGCAATAAATTGTGCTCGAAACGTCATCAGTAAATATTATTGTATAACACTGTGAGACTTTATCGCGATAAATTTTACCCGTAATTGAATTGAGAATTAGTGGATTGCAAAAGTTTCGGTATTAGGGAAGCGATATTAATTACATTTCAGTTGCTACTGTCTTGTGATGTAAAAAGTAAATCAGGATTGTTTTTATTGACATTCTCCTGTTTCCTGCTAAATAGCTTTATGGAAGTAATGGTAAACTGGAAATTTGTATGTGATAGGCAATATTTAGCCGGATGGATGAAACTGTTATTCAGTATTGTAACAGATCCTGAATATCGTTGGTGTTCCAGGAGATCTGTAATTCTTTCATTGTTGACTAAGCCAGTACATTCTAGGGGACTGGTCATCTGAATGCAGTATTGGTTTTGAACTAGTCTTTGTGGAGATTTGGCTCCTTGGTTTAAGCACTCGAGGTACTGCAGATAGGTACTGGGTTTGCATCTCGCTACACCCACTTCAGTCTGAGCGACTCGAGTGGGGCTCATAGCCTCGAATGTGAAAAACCTGTTTCGGGAGCCGAGTCTGGCTGATTGAATTTCAACATAGAACTTCCTACAGGAATGCAGCAGTTCAACTTGCCACACTCTATAGAGCACACAAAGAGGTATTTAAAAGGAACAGCTACAATGGGAATCATGAAGATTTAATGGATCTACGCCACTGAAAACGATTTTGAGCCATATCACCTGGATCCAAGTGAAATTAGGCAGTAAACGAAAAACGACTGATTAAGATTTACGAAATTCATTTGATCCTACAAAAACTTATTACTAAAATCACTTCTAAGCGTTTTATTTTTATTAGTATTTTTTTAGCTAAGTGTGTAAACATATGCTCCAGAAGTAGGTTTTATATTTTGCGACGTTATAGACAACGATTGGCTCTTCGTTGGTTTGTTCCCAGTCAGAGTTTCTTGTT